TGCCACTTCCTACGAAGAACAATGAAATTCCTCGGACATATCATTAAAGAGGACGGTGTGTCAGTGGACGGTGAGAAGGTGGAGCCCATTGCCAAGATGAGCCAAGCTCAGCTGATGGAGGCAGACGAATGCACTCCCGGAGGCTGAAATCCTTCTTGGGTATGGTATTATATTACCAACACTTCATTCCTGACTGTTCCGCCATAGCCAAGCCTTTGTTTGCACTCACTGGGGGTCAAAAGAGAAGAGGAAGAGATGGGAGGAAGAAGGGCAACAGTGGGATTTTCCGGAAGCTGACACTATCGGATTGGACTGAGGAGTGTGTCGTTGCATTCCAGAAGCTGAAGGATGCTCTTCTGAATTGTGTCGTGCTGGCTCACCCTGATTTTGAGAGGCTGTTCATTCTCTTCACTGACGCTTCTTTAGATGGTCTCTGGGCTGTGCTTTGTCAAGTGCCTGAAGGTAAAGATAAAGCAAGGCCCATAGCATTCGCGAGCAAGATCCTGAGTAATTTTTGGACAGCAGAAGACATTAAGAAGAACTCAGTTGACGTTCTGGTGGTGACTGACTACTTCACTAAACTTGCCCATGCATGGCCATGCAGAAACCAGACAGCCAAGCAAGTAGCTCGTAAACTGTGGGATCATGTCTTCTGTGTCTATGGATTTGCTGCAAGGATCCATACTGATCAGGGCGCGAATTTCGAGAGCGACTTAATAGCAGAACTGCTTAAGATCTCCGGTGTCCAAAAGTCAAGAACCACGGCATATCACCCAATGGGGAATGGAGAGACGGAACGCTTCAACAGGACATTAGGCAGCATGCTCAGGAGTCTACCCCTGAAAACCAAAGAACATTGGCCTGAACAAATCCAGTCATTGACATTCGCCTACAATGCCACTGTTCATGAGACTGCGGGCTATGCTCCATTCTTTCTCATGTTTGGTAGGGTCCCTCGGCTACCAGTGGATGTGATGTTCCACAATGTCTTGGACGACTCCAGTGTTGTGGATTGCAACAAGTATGTCGAGACTCTGATCACTGGGCTGAAGGAAGCTATGAGTGTTGCCCAAAGGCACACTGACAAGCAACAGAGACGACAAGGTTAGGAGTACGACAAGCGGGTTAAAGGCATCAGTTTGTCCATGGGGGATCGTGTCCTCATCGCCAACAAGGGTGAAAGGGGCCACCGCAAGTTGGCTGACAAGTGAAATTCTGAGATTTTCACAGTGACTTCAGTCAATCCACAAACTCACACGTACAGAATCCAAGACCGTGATGGCAGAGAGAAGGTGGTTGACAGAAATCTACTACTGCAGGTGAACTTCCTGCCATTTGAAATTGATGATTCAGAGTACTTCAATGACAGTGATGCTGCAGGACCTTCGATCAATGTAGATGCAGGAGAGGCCACGCACTCTGAGCTCGGAACATCGGATGAAAAGACAGAACCAGAAGAACCTTGCCTGCCTGAGGAAAATGACCTGGGAAGCACCTCTGAGATCCTGGAGCTGATTCCTTCAAACCCTCCTCTGATAAATTATCTAAGGCCAGAACCACTGTTAGTCACCATGGCCCCTAGCCCAGTGGCGGGTCGCACAGGGCGGGGAGGGTAGTTAAACCAGTCAAGAGACTAATTGAGTCAATCCCCCAGAAGGTGCAAGTTTAACATAGTACAGAGATATAGTACAGAATGACCTTTTTTTTTACGGCTAAGAAGGGATATATAGTGTAAGAGGCACTATGCATCTAGGGGCAGTTGAAGGCCTGACCAACTTTCACTTGCCCTGAATGCTATGGGTAGCTTTGAGCTGAATTCAGAATTATGCCTTGAGCTTGGTAGATTACTTTGTTTAGTTTAACAAGGTTGGTGAAATTCAGGAGGGGAGGGGTGAATGTAACAGCTGTTAAAGTACTTTGTGAATTTCACCAGGTTTATATATTAATATAGCATGTTGATTTGTTATTATGCATGCCTGCATCCTGGGAATAGGAGAGTGTGTACTTACGTTCTGCCCTGTGTGCTCCTGCTCAAATAATTTTGATGCACTATGACAGGTAGGCACGGTTTTTCTGTCGTCTTCAGAAAAGTTTGATTCCTTTAAGCACAAAGTCATACACACAGTGTTTTGTTCATGAAGAATGTTGTATATTTAGAGTTTACTTATAAGTGGTTGGTATTGTTAAGATGCAATTGTAATTGTACTTTTTAGGATGATATTAACATTCTGAATTCAACATGTGGTTACTAGCTAGCTAAGCTATTGTATGTGAGAACGATGGCTAGCTCCTCGACTGATCCCAGTCCTTTGTATTGTGCGTCTATGTTGTAGAAAGAGGCGACAATGGGCAGAACATATTTGTGCTCTACAAATGTTTTGTCTTTTCTTTTGGATGTAGGTACAGTGAGGGAAAAAAGTATTTGATCCCCTGCTGATTTTGTACGTTTGCCACTGACAAAGACATGATCATTCTATCATTTTAATGGTAGGTTTATTTGAACAGTGAGAGACAGAATAACAACAACAAAATCCAGAAAAATGCATGTCAAAAATGTTATAAATTGATATGCATTTTAATGAGGGAAATAAGTATTTGACCCCTCTGCAAAACATGACTTAGTACTTGGTGGCAAAACCCTTTTTGGCAATCACAGAAGTCAGACGTTTCTTGTAGTTGGTCACCAGGTTTGCACACATCTCAGGAGGGATTTTGTTCCACTCCTCTTTGCAGATCTTCTCCAAGTCATTAAGGTTTCGAGGCTGACGTTTGGCAACTCGAACCTTCAGCTCCCTCCACAGATTTTCAATAGGATTAAGGTCTGGAGACTGGCTAGGCCACTCCAGGACCTTAATGTGCTTCTTCTTGAGCCACTCCTTTGTTGCCTTGGCCGTGTGTTTGTCATGCTGGAATACCCATCCACGACCCATTTTCAATGCCCTGGCTGAGGGAAGAAGGTTCTCACTCAAGATTTGACGGTACATGGCCCCGTCCATCGTCCCTTTGATGCGGTGAAGTTGTCCTGTCCCCTTATCAGAAAAACACCTCCAAAGCATAATGTTTCCACCTCCATGTTTGGCGGTGGGGATGGTGTTCTTGGGGTCATAGGCAGCATTCCTCCTCCTCTAAATACGGCGAGTTGAGTTGATGCAAAAGAGCTCGATTTTGGTCTCATCTGACCACAACACTTTCACCCAGTTCTCCTCTGAATCATTCAGATGTTCATTGGCAAACTTCAGACGGCCCTGTATATGTGCTTTCTTGAGCAGGGAGACCTTGCGGGCGCTGCAGGATTTCAGTCCTTCACGGCGTAGTGTGTTACTGTCACGTTCGTTGAAGGACGGGTCAGACCAAGGCGCAGCGTGAAATGCGTACATGTTTATTTCACCGATAAACATACAACAAAACAACAAACCAAACGAAACGTGAAGTCCTAAGGCTGAACACAAAACAAGCCTACACACGGAACAAGATCCCACAACTAACGCATGCCAACAGGCTGCCTAAGTATGATCCCCAATCAGAGACAATGAGCGACAGCTGTCTCTGATTGGGAATCACACCCGGCCAAACATAGATCTACAACACCTAGACAGAAAACACAACATAGAATATTCACACCCTGACTCAACATATAAGAGACTGGGGACACGCACCACTGCCTTGGTGCAAAGGAGCAGGAACAGGCCGGGCCGGACTGGGAACACGCACCACTGGCCTAGTGCGAGGAGCAGGAACGGGCCGGGCCGGACTGGGAACACGCACCACTGGCCTGGTGCGAGGAGCAGGAACGGGCCGGGCCGGACTGGGAACACGCACCACTGGCCTAGTGCGAGGAGAAGGAACGGGCCGGGCCGGACTGGGAACACGCACCACTGGCTTGGTGCGGGGAGCAGGAACGGGCCGGGCCGGACTGTGGAGGCGGACTGAAGGTCTGGAGCGGAGGGCTGGCACAACCCGTCCTGGCTGGATGCCTACTTCCGCACAGTACGTGTGTGGCATCAGCACAGGACACACTGGGCTGTGCACATGGGCATCTACCTTCGCCCATGGTCCAGCACAAGAGACCCAGTTAAATTTTGCAGACTATATTGAGTAATTCCATATTTGTATTTGATTAAAAGTGTATTTCTTTAAATATAGCCTACACAATAGCTTTCAACATACCAGTATTTTGTGTAAACTTTCGAAATAAATGCTGGTATAAGTAATACATTATAAAAAATAAAATACGTTAAATTATCCATTTATTTTTCCAAATGTGGTTGCAATGCTGTGAAAACAGTTGTACTGTACTAGAGTTCCAAAAAAGTATAAATATTCGCAAAATGTAGCATGTCTTTGCCAGCATAATATCAAATAGTTGTATAACTATCTGTGATAATATCCTACTGCTAGTTGAACGGTAATCCCGATGCTGAGGAAATTGCAATCGGTTCACCAAATCAGGAAATGAAAGGCTGGGCCTGCGGGGTATTTTACGGGACTGTTTCGGAAGCGTCTGACATCACCGTGAACAGTTTACTTTAGTTTAGTGCTTATTTTTGATGCAAACAAACAAAATATCGTGTGCATAGCCTATATTTCTAATTACAACAAATTATGAATATCGGTATGGCCATTTAGACAGATTTACTGCTGTTGCTACATGACCATTTGTGAGTGGCAATATACGTCATGCTTTTCGAACCATTCGATTTTTATTATAAGCCTTATAATAAAAGAAAATGAACAATGGAATATTCTCGTACGTACTTCTTCCTCCCTAGGGGTGGCAGTGTACGCCAGGATTGTGTATTTGGGTCATAAGAGGTGTCTTTTTATCTGCCTGTACATGATACATTTGAATGCAGAAATACAGCAATGTTAAATGTACGTTCATTAATTATCTTCAAATATATATATGAATCAATAAGTGTTGATATGATTATAAGTTCTATTTATTTTCCATGTAATGCTCACAAATGTGTTCAGGCATTTTCGCAGCCACCCAAGTGTACGGAAGAGCAACTGTTGAAAGTGTACAGGGTTTGATGGATGAGCAAGGGATTTTTTGTATGTTCTTGAAATAAATATTCTAGCTACATTTTCTTTCTCAACAACGTCGGTTTATTTAACGAAGTAGACATGCCTTTATTTGCGCAGAATCCATTCGACCAAGATGTTGGTAAGTTGAGCGCTTCATTTGGCATTTTGGTTCGGAGTAACCTAGCGTAACTACGGTAGCTTCGTATTTAGCGGAACCACTAGCCCGCGAGCTAACAACAACTAGCTAGCTAACGTTAGCCAGGCTACACTTCTGTAGCTAGTTACCTTGAAATTCTGATCAAATGTGAGATTATCCACATAGCTAGCTAGTTATGCGGTTTGGTAAACTGTAGCAGACAGTCATCGGTCAGACTATGTGCTAGCTATGTTAGCGAGCGACTACCGTTAGCTAACTACTAATAGCTACGCTAGTTGTGTCATCACTTTATCGTAATCAACAATTTTCAATAACAAGACTGCCTAAACTGCAACAATATCACGCATTCAACAAGAACAACATTATCTAGCTAGTTAGTTAAATTAGCTAGATTAATTCGTGAGTTGGATTAGTTTTAGGTTTACTGAAAGGGAAGTAACGTTAGTATCTTGTATACATTCGGAAAATATTCCACATTTTGTTACGTTACAGCCTTATTCTAAAATGGATGTAAAAAAATGTTATCCTCATCAATCTACAGACAATACCCCATAATGACAAAGCGAAAATAGGTTTGACAAAGCGAAAATAGGTTTTTAGAAATCTGTCTATATAAGGTCCCACAGTTGACAGTGCATGTCAGAGCAAAAACCAAGCCATGAGGTCGAAGGAATTGGCCATAGAGCTCAGAGACAGGATTGTGTCGAGGCACAGATCTGGAGAAGGGTAGCAACACTTTTCTGCAGCATTGAAGGTCCCCAAGAACACAGTGCCCTCATCATTCTTAAATGGAAGAAGTTTGGAACCACCAAGACCCTTCTTAGAGCTGGCCACCTGGCCAAACTGAGCAATCGGGGGAGAAGGGCCTTGGTCTGGGAGGTGACCAAGAACCCAATGGTCACTCTGACAGAGCTCCACAGTTCCTCTGTGGAGATGGGAGAACCTTCCAGAAGGACAACCATCTGTGCAGCGCTCTATCAATTGGGCCTTTAAGGTAGAGTGGCCAGACGGAAGCCACTCCTCAGTATAAGGCACATGACAGCCCACTTGGAATTTCTCTGGTCTGATGAAACCAAGATTTAACTCTTTGGCCTGAATGCCAAGTGTCACGTCTGGAGTAAACCTGGCACCATCCCTACGGTGAAGCATGGTGGTAGCAGCATCATGCTGTGGGGATGATTTCAGCGGCAGGGACTCGGAGACAAGTCAGATCGAGGGAAAGATTAATGGAGCAAAGTACAGAGAGATCCTTGATGAAAACCTGCTCCACAGCGCTCAGGACCTCAGACTGGGGTAAAGGTTCACCTTCAACAGGACAACGACCCTAAGCGCACACAGTCAAGACAACGCAGGAGTGGCTTCGGGGCAAGTCCCTGAATGTCCTTGAGTGGCCGAGCCAGAGCCCGGACTTGAACCCGATCTAACATATCTGGAAAGACCTGAAAATAGCTGTGCAGCGACGCTCCCCATCCAACCTGACAGAGCTTGAGAGCATCTGCAGAGAAGAATGAGAGAAACTCCCCAAATACAGGTGTGCCAAGCTTGTAGCGTCATATCCAAGAAGACACAAGGCTGTAATAGCTGACAAAGGTGCTTCAACAAAGTACTGAGTAAATTGTCTGAATAGTTATGTAAATGTGATATTTCAGGGTTTTTTGTGTTTTGGTTTTTACAAATTTGTATAAAAAAACCTCAACTCAAAACTTGTTTTTGCTTTGTCATTATGGGGTACTGTGTGTAGATTGATGAGGGGGAAAAAAAACTATTTTATCAATTTTAGAATAAGGCTGTAACGTAAAACAATGTGGAAAAGGTCAAGGGGTCTGAATACTTTCTGATTGCACTGTAGCTAGCAAGCTTAACCCTCTCTAGTATGAGCAGTTTAGCCATCATCTTTGGAACAGAAGCTCTCGTATATCTCATAGTGTCCTTGTAGCTACAGCAATATGAATTTCACTCTGTACAAAAATATATAGTTAGCCATGTGTAATGGCTTTATCATCACAAATAAAATCTGTGTATTGGTCACGTACACAGATTTGCAGGTGCAGCGGAATGCTTGTGTTTCTAGCTCCAACAAAAATGTGCAGTAATAAATAATACCTACCAATCACATAATCCCAAAAGTAAACAAATAAAAATAAAGCCTGGTCCGGGAAGTCGAATTTCTTGGGAGTGACCGTAGATTTGATTGTCGTCTATAAGTAATAATACAATAAATGTTCTGAGCAAATAAAAAATACTGCTAAGTTGGCTAAGAGCTAGAAACATGGCGACTGTGTCTGTCGGCACCATCTTGTATCACAAATCAGATAAGGAATAATTAACTTTATTCCTAGTCTAGTCATACAACTTCCAGAATTATGTATTAACTGTCAATCCTGTAAAAAATATCGTGGTGAACTAGAAGTATAATAGAGAGGTAATGTTGGCCCAACACAGTACATGCCAACCACAGATTGTATTTTCCCAACTAACCACATGTATCCCGGTGTACCACATTTTCAGAGAAAGCCACCAATGAAACCAATACAGTGGAGGACTGGGCCCTGATTATGGATATCTGTGACAGAGTTGGACAGACACCCAATGGGTAAGCTGAAATGCGACTTCCTATTTCTAAAATATCAGCATTGTTTACATCACTTGTCAAACTCATTCCACTGAGGGCCGAGTGTCTGCTGGTTTTCGCTCCTCCCTTGTACTTGATTGATGAATTAAGGTCACTGATTAGTAAAGAACTCCCCTCACCTGGTTGTCTAGGCCTTAATTAAAAAGAAAAACCAAAAACCTGCAGACACTAGGCCCACCATGAAATGAGTTTGACACCCCTGATTTACATGAACCAGAGCACTAGGGGCATTTCCTGCAGAAAATAATTAGCTTATTTCCAAGTAGCCTATTTGTGATTATGTGCAGCTAGGCAATAGACTCTAACCCAGTGGTATTCAAAGTCGGGGTCGTGACCCTACTGGAGGAACTGCAGTGGGGTTGGCAATTTTTTTTCTTCTAAAATAAGGTGGGGTTTTTTAAACCAAAAATGAAGAGTACAGATAATTGTATGGGACAATATACAAACTTTTTTGAGAAAGATAATTTGAAAATACAATTTTATTGACTACATTTGTTTTAGTTTAATCTTGATATGAGATGAACATTGAATGAATTGAAGGTTATTTGTTGATGTACAGATTGAAATGTACCTATTTTAAGGTTGTCATTATTGGTGGGGTGGGTTCATTAGAAATTATTGTGGGGAAAAATGGGGTCCCCAGAAATTCTGCCAGAAAAAATGGGGTCCCCGCTGAACAAGTTTTAATGCCACTTCTCTAACCTAACTCCAGGACTCAAGTTTGGAGGTTATGGGTTATGATATATATTTTTTTATAGCAATGGCATTGAATAGCAATAACTCAAAATGCAATTCATAACTGTACGAAAAAGTACAACAATGTATGCACTCACTACTGGAATTTGCTCTGGATAAGAGCATCTACTAAATGTAAATACAGTGCCTTCAGAAAGTATTCATACCCCTTGACTTATTCAACATTTTGTTGTTACAGCCTGAATTCAAAATTGATTAAATATTAATGTTTTACCCATCTACACACACAATACACCATAATGACAAAGTGAAAACATGTTTTTAGACATTTTTGCACATTTATTGAAAATTAAATAGATATCATTTACATAAGTATTCACACCCCTGAGTCAATACTTTATAGAAACACCTTTTCCAACGATTACAGATTTGAGTCGTCTGTATCAGCTTTGCACATCTGATTTTGGGGATTTCCTTGCAGGTTTTCTTAAACTCTGTTAAGTTAGATGGAGTACAAATTCTTATTTACAATAACGGCTTACACCGGCAAAACCCGGACGACGCTGGGTCAATTGTGCACTGCCCTACGGGACTCCCAATCACGGCCGGTTGTGATACAGCCTGGAATCGAACCAGGGGGTCTGTAGTGACGCCTCAAGCACTGAGATTTAGTGCCTTAGACCGCTGCGCCACTCGGGAGCCCTAATGGGATTCAAGTCTGGGCTTTGGCTGGGCCACTCAAGGACTTTCGCATTCTTGTTCTGAATCCATTCCAGTGTTGCTTTGGCTGTATTAGCAAAAATGTCTAAACTTATTTTCACTTTGGTATTGTGTGTTGATGGGTAAAAAAATAATCTATTTAATCAATTTTGAATTCAGGCTGTAACACATCAAAATGTGGAATAAGTAAAGGGGTATGAATACTTTCTGAAGGCACTGTAACTGTATATTGAAGATGGTATACTTTTGGAAAACTCATGTAGGAATAACCTTCTACTTGTTCCATAATAACCACGTCTCTACCTGCCATTCTTCTCCCAGAGCCAAGGACTGCCTGAGGTCTGTGATGAAGCGAGTCAACCACAAGGTCCCACACGTCGCCATGCAGGCCCTCACCGTGAGTTCTGATAACTTACTTTATTATTGATTGTGTTGTTCAAGACACCTGGAGCAAAAGCTGCATATCATTTGGTAGGCCGTTGGTAAACCTACTGCCTAACTGTATAACAGGTTTATTAATAAAGCCAATGTCAATAGAGAAATGGTCTGGAAAAGATGTGGGGTTATTGTAAGGTTAGGTGTTTTACTCTGCATGGTGTCAGGCCCTGGAGCTTGTTGAGTGACTGTGATCATAGACACAGTTAATGAGTAATGCATCCTGCTATAGGATTGGATAGCAGAGTTTGAACAGTTTGCTTGTATAAAGTCTGAGTGTGAATTTCCTGGTTCAGACAGTGGATCAAAAACTATCTGACTGTTGCCATAAGCCTCAATGACAATCTCCAGTCTGGTGTAATAAAGTATTTGGGAGGAGTGGTCCATCTCCTGCTGCTCTTGGCAGTTATAGAGCTCTGAGCTTGTAACTCTCCCGCTCTGGGCAGCCAGTCAACCAGAGTGTGATGATCCATGGCCTTGAGGAAGTTTTTACTGCTTTGTTCTGTTCTCTCTGCTGCTCAGTGTTGTGATAGAGTGATGATGCTATGCCTCAGACCATGTGATCCTTCTCTCTATGACTCACCATTAGGGTAGATAGTCACATGGCTGTTCTATTTTTAGATTTCTCTCTCTCCTTCCTCACTCAGTCAACTTTAGCTCCCTCTGTCATAAAATCATGCATAATTTCACTGGTGTCACATTTTATTAATGTTAATACATTTTTCTGTTATTAAATGTGGAAGTGAATAAAAGTGTTAGGCTACATCTCTTAATGTAATGTGAAACCTCAACATAAATCATCCATACTGACTACTGTACTAACCTGGCTTTTCTCCCTGTTTCAGTTGCTGGCTGCCTGTGTCAATAACAGTGGAAGAATATTTCACTTAGAAATCTGCTCGCGGGAGTTTGCCACTGACGTCCGAACTGTGTTGAGCAGGGTACGGAAGCTGTCTCAAGTTTTTCTGTTGCAATATTTGTGCTGAATTGATGATGTTAAGACTTACACATGTGAGCAAGCATAACAATCAACTGAGATTGCGTCATCTGTGGATCTGTTGGGGCAGTATGCGAATTGGAGGGGGTCTAGGGTTTCCGGGATGATGGTGTTGATGTGAGTCATGACCAGCCTTTCAAAGCACTTCATGGCTACCGACATGAGCGCTACGGGGCGGAAGTCATTTAGGCAGGTTGCCTTCGCTTTCTTGGGCACAGGGGCTATGGTGGTCTACTTGAAACATGTAGGTATTACAGACTCGGTCAGGGAGAGGTTGAAAATATCAGTGAAGACACTTGCCTGTTGGTCCGCGCATGCTCTGAGTACCTTGAAAGCGGCAGCTCTAGCGTTTAGCTCGGTGCGGATGTTGCCTGTAATCCATGGCTTCTGGTTGGGATATGTATGTACTGTCACTGTGGGGAGGACGACGTCGTCAATGCACTTATTGATGAAGCCGGTGACTGAGGTGGTATACTCCTCAATGCCATTGGATGAATCCCGGAACATATTCCAGTCTGTGCTAGCAAAACAGTCCTGTAGCGTAGCATCTGCGTCATCTGACCACTTCTGTATTGAGCGAGTCACTGGTACTTCCTGCTTTAGTTTTTGCTTGTAAGCAGGAGGATAGAATTATGGTCAGATTTGCCAAATGGAGAGTGAGAGAGAGCTTTGTATGCATCTTTGTGTGTGAAGTAAAGGTGGTCTAGGGTTTTTTCCCCCTCTGGTTGCACATGTGACATGCTGGTAGAAATGAGGTTAAACGGATTTAAGTTTTCCTGCATTAAAGTCCCCGGCCACTAGGAGCGCCGCTTCTGGATGAGCAATTTTTTGTTTGCTTATGGCCTTATACAGCGCGTTGAGTGCGGTCTTCGTGCCAGCATTGGTTTGTGGTGGTAAGTAGATGGCTACGAATAATATAGATGAGAACTCTCTTGGTAGATAGTGTGGTCTACAGCTTATCATGAGGTACTCTACCTCAGGCAAGCAATACCACGAGACTTCTTTAAAATTAGACATCGCGCATCAGCTGTTATTGACAAATAGACACAAACCCCTGTCCCTCGTCTTACCAGACGTAGCTGCTCTGTCCTGCCGATGCACGGAAAACCCAACCAGCTCTATATTATCCGTGTCGTTGTTCAGCCATGACTCGGTGAAACATAAGATATTACAGTTTTTAATGTCCCGTTGGTAGGATAGTCTTGATCGTAGATCATCCAGTTTATTCTCCAGTGATTGCACGTTGGCCAATAGGACGGATGGTAGTGGCGGTTTACCCACTCGCCGACAAATTCTCACAAGGCACCCCGACCTCCACCCACTGTATCTCTGTTTTTTCTTCATGCGAATGACGGGGATTTGGGCCTGGTCTCAGGAAAGCAGTATATCCTTTGCATCGGATATATACTCATTAAAGAAATAGTCTTTGTCTAGTTCGGGGTGCGTAATCGCTGTTCTGATGTCCAGAAGCTCTTTTCGGTCATAAGAGACGGTAACAGCAACATTTTGTACAAAATAAGTTATAAACAATGCGAAAAAACAAACAAAATAGAACAGTTGGTTAGGAGCCCATCAAATGGCAGCCATCCCCTATGGCACCATTATTATCATTCAGCTGGCTCTTTATGTCAATGTTTTATTTGTATCTACCTCTATCAAATAAGTAGCCTAATAATAATTACTATTATCCCCCCTGCAGGCCCACCCCAAGGTGTGTGACAAGATGAAGGGGATGATGGTGGAGTGGTGTGATGGGTTCCAGAAAGATCCACAGCTCAGTCTGATCAGTGCCACCATCAAGTCTCTGAGAGAGGAAGGGGTTGTCTTTCCATCCTCTGGGTCACAGGTAAAGTAGTCAACAGCCTAGCATTTATCACCCTAATCCAGTGTTGCCTCTATCATTGTATAGGCTGGGCAGTCTCCCCTCACTACTAACTCTGTTACCCCCCTGCCTAAAAGAGTTTGGTTTTTATTTGTTTCAATTGACAATTTTGGTGCCAGATGGTCTGGATTTTGCTTTGTTCTTTGAGGGCCTCTGCACCTCACCTGGAAAATAGAGCCATTTGAACCGCATTTTTGTCTTTTTTTAAATTAAATTTGAGCCCTTTTTCTCCCCAATTTTGTAATATCCAATTGGTAGTTACAGTCTTGTCCCATCGATGCAACTCCCCTACGGGGGAGGCAGTGCCTTAGACCACTGCGCCACTCGGGAGGCCCCCACAAATATTTTTTAAATGTACTATATCAGTACTCTACCATCTTACAGGGCTCTACGCTGATATATATATATTTTTAATGTTGGAGCACATAAAAAAATTCAGGAGAACAAATGAATAATATAAATAAAAAAAAATTATATAAGAATTGCCAGCAATTGCAAAATACAGGGTTAAGGAGCACCAGAACATTTTATTTGTAAGATTGAGATCTAGGCCTATATGAATCCTAGCTACTTTTGGAGTTCATCTCCTGAAGAAGCTATTTATTTTATTTGGTGTACTTTTTTTCTAGGGGCACTGGTGCTCCCAAATATAAATTCCAGGTAGCACAGCAAAATATTTAGGAGCATATGCGACCAAAAATGTAGCATTGTAGAGCCCTGTCTTATTGTAGCTGTCGCCAGACTCGCCTACGAAACACAAGACAACTGTTATTGGCTAACTCCAACACAAAGCTCTCCTCATGACTTCAACCTGTGGTCCACTGTAAGCAAATAAGCTCTGTGTGTGTACTTTCACTGGCCCCAGTGCAGTGCGGTCTGTCCGTGTCCTCAGTGTGCTGCTCTCCCATGTGTTGCCAATACAGAGGAGGATGGAGCTTGTCTCTGTATTTTTTAAGGCATGACCTCCGAATGGAATTTCCTCTAACATACTTCATGTAATATCTAAGTTCTCCCTATAAGGGGATTAGAATTCCTTTTGTGATTGTATGTGAGGGACAGTCTGGTACTTTATTAATTTGGTTGAAATGGTGGGCTGAGTGTCCTATTCAATCTTAAAGGCCCAGTGCAGTCAAAATTCAGTTTTTCCTGTTTTGTATGATATTGTACAACAGCTGATGAAACTAAAACTGTGAAAACATTTGATCAGTGTTATTTCCTGATAGTTGCTGGTTGAAAATACAATCTACACAAGACCTTCCAATCAGCAGGTTTGCATGGGCGGGAGTTTCGGCTTACCATGGTGACATTAGCATGATGTAAATTTGTTAATAGGCCAATCACAAAGAGTTCCAAACCTCTCTGCCAATAACAGCTAGTTTTCAATTTCCCCCTCCCCACTCAGATCACTCCGACAGTCCAAGCTAAATAGCCTAGTTTTTTGATAAAATCTATTAAAGTAAAGTACTTAATTGTTACACAGAAATGATTTGTTATTGATATAAAGCTGCTTGATTGGGCCTTTTAATAAATTACACTGTGAAGTATTTGCTACTGAAATTGGACTTTGCCCAACCCCTCTCACAGACAACAATTTATTCTTCATACTGTAGTCAATGTCACTATTTTCCAGATGTTAGGCTATATTTGTTTGCATATGAAGCTCCTGAGTGGCGCAGTGGTCTAAGGCACTGCATCGCAGTGCTAGCTGTGCCACTAGAGATCCTGGTTCGAATCCAGGCTCTGTCGTAGCCGGCCGTGACCGGGAGACCCATGGGGCGGCACGCAATTGGCCCAGCGTCGTCCAGGGTAGGGGAGGGAATGGCCGGCAGGGATGTAGCTCAGTTGATAGAGCATGGTGTTTGCAACGCCAGGGTTGTGGGTTCGATTCCCACAGGGGGTATAAAAAAATAAATAATGTAAGTCGCTCTGGATAAGAGCGTCTGCTAAATGACGTAAATGTAAATGTAAATGTAAATGAAGCGATTGCATTTTTATGGCATTCATTGTCCTATTTAATTTTAGGAGCTCCTTTACTCTTAAGGAATCCACATGCTTCCCATACGAAACAGTTCAGAACAGTGTGTGCATATATTATGATGACATTTTTGTTTGTTTTGGTCTTCGGCAAGTGTTTTATCGGCTGTTCGTGCACACCATTTTTCTTGAGGCAAGCAGAAGTCTACGCCCCTTCGTCGGTGATTGGTCAACAGTAGGGATTCTTCAATGAAGTATTTGTCATTCAACGAGAGACTAATTGTTTTCACCCACATTTCTTTTCACTTGAGAAATACTGCAGCAAACACCTTAGTTAGATGTAAAATTGCGTGACTTAAGATCTCCTTGACAAAAATCTCCTTGACAAAAATTAGATTAATTCTGACGCTACTGCTTCTCAAGATAGACAAACAGTACTATTGCCGCTTTTTTCTTGTTTTTCAAGCAAAGGTCTTTTAAGGGAGTATGCGAGCCACTCGTCCCGTTCGCTTAGCCGAGTTTGGCTAGGCGCCAGCCGAACCGAAGCATGCTGACGCCTTTATTCGCATCGCACTCTCTTTACTACCAAAAGACTGCCTGTAAAGCCTGTAGTACCTATGAATCCCTACAGGTGGCATCACAGTCACAGCTAATCCAAATCCCCTCTGCTCTGGAAGGCTGTCTCTCTCTAACCAACCGCCTCTTATCAACAGGGGTCCAGCCTAAAGGGCACCACTCCTGCTGTTAGTAAACCATCTGACAATGACGACCTGGCCAAAGGTACAGATAATATCCAACAGATTCTAGAATACCACATAATATTACATTATGAACTGTGCATGTTGAAGAATGAATTAATACATTTATTAGACACATTAAAATCATTGAGAATGACACACACAAAAAAGTGTAGAACAGTGTATTTCCATTGTGTTCCACTGCCTCTGTCCTCCTCCCATCTGCAGCCATCGAGCTGTCCCTGCAGGAGCAGAAGCAGTGTGCGGAGACACGACCCCTCACCGTGACCTCCGACCCCCCCTTCAACACTAACGGGGGCGGCAGTAGCAGGGACTCCCGGAAGGTGCGGGCGCTCTACGACTTTGAGGCGGCCGAGGACAACGAGCTCACCTTCAAGACCGGGGAGCTCATTCTCGTCCTGGACGACAGGTAGCTAACGACATGCTATGGAAACCTGGCTCTGACCCCCTGCTGTGATGACCGATATGATGGCCTACTGTATATGCATATATCTTCAGTCATATATCTAGTGTCCACTCTGTTGTTTTGCAGTGCATGCATTCATTTCATTTACAATGGGAATGGTTTACTTACAAGAATGTTTGAACTGATTAAACCATGTTGATGCCACAGTGACCCAAACTGGTGGAAAGGAGAGAACCACAGAGGAGTAGGTCTCTTCCCGTCCAACTTCGTCACGACCAACCTCAATGCTGAGCCTGAACTAGGTACGTTTCCCCTGTCCAGTACCATACCTTTGTCTCATCCTGAGGCACGGAGAGTCGTTCTAGTGTATGGTTTCATGTTTTCAATCCTGGCTCTGGATAAGAGCGTCAGCTAAATGTCTAAAATGTCAAATGTAAATCCCTCTCCTACCAGTAACGTATGTGGAGAAGACGCCAGCCCCGGAGGAGCCCAGCATAGAAGCCAATGTAGAGCCTGAGCCTGTCTTCATAGATGAGGTGGGTGGTTCTACGTACCAGGCCTACTGCATGGCTGTCCATACATGTAGGCCTATATCATGTATCTTTTTTATTAGATAGAAACAGTCCTCCATCAGTTCTGATCGTTTGACCATTGAAAACCCTCATCAGTCTGTCAGTTGTAACTTAGTAAAACGTTGAGAATGGTTAATAAAGTCTGACATTGCAACTTTGTATAACAAGCAATGTAACATCGTATAACAAGACTCTCTTTCTCCCCCTCTCCCCCTCTCTCACCCCCACCTCTCTCTTCCTTTTCTCTCTCTCCCTCTTTCCCCCCCTCTCTTGCTCAATCATCCCCACCTCTCTCTACCTCTTCCTCCCTCTCTCATATCCACCTCTCTCTCCCTCTTCCTCCCTCTCTCATCCCCACCTCTCTCTCTCCCCTCTCCCCTCTCTCTCTCCCCTCCCCCCTCTCTCTCTGCAGGAAAAGATGGATAGAGCGCTCTATCTTCTCCAGAATACAGACCCTGCTGATGCAGCACCTGACTGCCAAGAACTGGTCCAGCTGGAGGGTATAAAACATTGACTTAATGCTCTTATAAATCCTAGTAGCCATGTTCACTGACACTGGAGATGGCCTATATAGTAACACACAGTTGGCTTGACAACTGTTTTTGTCTGTTTAGCCTCACCTTATCAATGCTTTACCCACCCAGGTGCTTGTGAGCAGATGAATCCAATGATTGATGACAAGCTGGAAGACATTGACAGGTAAAGTGAATTTAACTGCAGTATAATTATTCATAATGGACTATTAGAGGCTATACTATTGCATGTCACAGTTTATTTCTATTGGTTAGGCAAATATGTTGTACAGAGTTATTCAAATTGTATTTAGTTATACCTACTTCAAATCAAATGTTATTGGTCACATACGCATATTTAGCAGATGCTATTGCGGGTGTAGCGAAATGCTTGTGTTCCTAGCTCCAACAGTGCAGTAGTATCTAACAATTCACAACAATACACACAAATCTAAAAGTAAAAGAATGGAATTAAGAAATATATACTTTATATTGACTGTATCTGGATGAGTACCATGAACATCAGCTGGACAGAACCCTGAGTCTTTGTCGTGATGACCTGTTCTCTATCCTCATCTTGTCTCTCCTCTCTCCAATGTCTTTCTCACTTTCTCCACCCCTCCCTCCCCCATTCCCTCTCCCCTTCTCTCCCTCTCCCTGGCAGGCAACACTCTGAGCTATCTGAGCTGAATGTGAAGGTGCTGGAGGCCTTGGAACTCTACAACAAACTGATGAACGAGGCACCATTCTACACAGCCTACTCCAAACTGCAGTCCCAGCAGCAACCACAGCAGCACCAATACACACCTGCCTCCCAAGTCCCCATGCAGGTCAGTTAGGAGAAACAAACTATCTAACCACTGTCACATATACTACATGACCAAAATTATGTGGACACCTGCTCGTCGAACATCTCATTCCAAAATCATGGGCATTAATGTGGAGTTGGTCCACCCTTTGCTGCGATAACAGCCTCCAATCTTCTGGGAAAGCTTTCCACTAGATGTTGGAACATTGCTGTGGGGACATGCTTCCATTCAGCCACGAGCATTAGTGAGGTCGGGCACTGATGCCTGGCTCTCAGTCGGCATTCCAATTCATCCCAAAGGTGTTCGATGGGGTTGAGGTCAGGACTCTGTGCAGGCAAATGAAATTGTTCCACACCGATCTCGACAAACCATTTCTGTATGGACCTCGCTTTATGCACGGGGGCGTTGTCTTGCTGAAACAGGAAAGGGCCTTCCCCAAACTGTTGCCACAAAGTTGGAAGCACAGAATCGTCTAGAATGTCATTGTATGCTGTAGTGTTAAGATTTCCCTTCACTGGAACTAAGGGGCCTAGCCCAAATCATGAAAAACAGTCCCAGACCATTATTCCTCCACCACCAAACTTTACAGTTGGCACTATGCATTGGGGCAGGTAGCGTTCTCCTGGCATCCGTCAAACCCAGATGTCTGTCGGACTGCCAGATGGTGAAGCGTGATTCATCACTCCAGAGAATGCGTTTCCACTGCTCCAGAGTCCAATGGCGGCGAGCTTTACATCACTCTACCCGACGCTTGGCATTGCGCATGGTGATCTTAGACTTGTGTGCGGCGGCTCGGCCATGGAAACCCATTTCATGAAGCTCCCGACGAACAGTTCTTGTGCTGACGTTGCTTCCAGAGGCAGTTTGGAACTCGGTAGTGAGTGTTGATTTTTATGCGCTTCAGCACTCGGCGGTCCCGTTCTATGAGCTTGTGTGGCCTACCACGTTGTGGCTGTGCCGTTGTTGCTCCTAGACGTTTCCACTTCACAATAACAGCACGTACAGTTGACCGGGGCAGCTCTAGCGGGGCAGAAATTTGACGAACTGACTTGTTGGAAAGGTGGCATCCTATGACTGTGCCACGTTGAAAGTCACTGAGCTCTTCAGTAAGACCATTCTACTGTCAATGTTTGTCTATGGAGATTGCATGGTGGCGTGCTCGATTTTATACACCTGTCAGCAACGGGTGTGGCTGAAATAGCCGAATCCATTAATTTAAAGGGGTGTCCTCATACTTGTGTGTGTGTGTGTATATATAGTGTACTTTCTGTTTAGGTCACCACCTCGTGAAGGCCGAGAGACTATGGCAGTGTCCAAAATGGCATCCTATTCATATGGTGGGCTCTGGTCAAAAGTAGTGGACTATATAGGGAATAGGATGCCATTTCAGACGCAGACCATGTGTTTTGTCTGCTGTGCTGTTTGTCCCTGATGATGGATGTCAGAGTCCCTCCTTGGAGACGAATGGGAGACTCCAGTGGGTCATGCTTGGACTGTTTTACCACCTCACTTTCTGCACCGCTTTGCAAAACCCGTTTAGAAACAATCTGTTCCTTGTTGTTTACCTAGCTGCACCTCTAGTAATGTTGTTGGTTTTTCCAAACGCATGTATAGTTTAGTGGAGTAATGCAATGTACAGTGTACTATGAAATGTGTTTCATCCAATTTCACATTGAACATGGTCTCTTTTGCTCCCCCCTCCCTCTCTCAGGGTTACCCAGGTCAGCCTGGTGGTTCCTACATGCCTCCAGGGATGCCCCAGGGCCCCCCAGCCCAGCAGGCCTACATGGGCTCTGACCAGCCCGGACCCCTCCACTCACTCCCCCCTAACGTCACATCTCCCAACAGTCAGCCATCACAGCTTCCTTACAGGTAGGCCTCTCCTCAGGGTTACACGTCTCCTCAGTATACCAGTACTTTACAGGGTTACACGTCTCCTCAGTATACCAGTACTTTGCAGGGTTACACGTCTCCTCAGTATACCAGTACTTTGCAGGGTTACACGTCTCCTCAGTATACCAGTACTTTACAGGGTTACACGTCTCCTCAGTATACCTGTACTTTGCAGGGTTTTCACGTCTCCTCAGTATACCAGTACTTTGCAGGGTTACACGTCTCCTCAGTATACCAGTACTTTGCAGGGTTACACGTCTCCTCGGTATACTAGTACTTTACAGGGTTACACGTCTCCTCAGTATACTAGTACTTTACAGGGTTACACGTCTCCTCAGTATACCAGTACTTTGCAGGGTTACACGTCTCCTCAGTATACCAGTACTTTACAGGGTTACACGTCTCCTCAGTATACCAGTACTTTACAGGGTTACACGTCTCCTCAGTATACCAGTACTTTGCAGGGTTACACGTCTCCTCAGTATACCAGTACTTTGCAGGGTCACACGTCTCCTCAGTATACCAGCCCTGACTAGGCAACTAGCTAGCTAAACGGCAGCCATTTTGTGAGGCCATTCTTGTGTCTGCATGTTTGTGTTTTGAGACATCCCACTAGTGGATTTGTGACTATTACATTTTTTGGGGTGGCATTGCTCCTGTGTTAAGAGGGTTACATGTCTGCCTTAATGCTTGTGTTAGGCAGTAGGTGGCTAATATTGTACCATTCTGTCTCTTCACCGCAGTGTACCATATGCACCTGCCGGATACCCTCCACAGATGGGTGTGGCCCCACAGATGGACATGTCAGCCTACCAGAATGCCAACCTGCCTCCAGCCTCCTATCAAATCGCTGCTCCATTGCAGCAGGCCCCACAGCAGCAACAGGCGTACTATCAGCAGCCTCTCCTGTAAAGGCAGACCGTGCAGCAGCATATCCCCATCAACAGACACAGTACAATGACACAATCATCCCCCCCCCCCTATTTTGTCCTTTATGAAAAAATAATGGCAATGGTATGAGGTATGCTTGTGTCCGAAATGGCACCCTATTCCCTATGTAGTGCTCTACTTTTGACCAGGACCCATAGGGCTCTGGTCAAAAGTAGCACACTATATGGGGAATAGGGTGTGATTTGGGACACAGGCCTAGATTGTCACAAAGGTCAGTGGCTGTCTGAGACGAGGTGTGGAGACCCACCGGAGGGAGACCAAATGCCAACCTACCACCCACCCAGCACGGCCTGTTTGGAAGGGATGACTGTCTTGGTTTGCCTCTTTAAAACAGTTAATGGGGCAGCTCATCAGCTGATCCTTTCCAAACTGCTTCATTCATGTTGTGTGTATTTGTACTTCTTCAGAGTTATCTTTTGTTTGTTTTGTTTTTTAATCATCTATTTTTAAATGTTTGTTTTTCTGTTCACCGTCTGGTTTGGTGTCTGGCTGTCTGTCTGTCTGTCTGGGAGATCAGTCCAAATGAAGGAGCCCATTGCTGGCCAGGACAAGGATCCGAGTCAATCCATTTACATTCAGTCAATTTAAATGGAATTGACCCCAACCCTGACCAGGACTTTTCTATCCCCCTCTCTCTAACACCATCATCCGCTTTAGTTGACCCTTCTTGGGGCCAAAGGTTACGGAGTTCTCTAGGTATAAGTATTTTTGTGCTATAATCAGTACCATTTTTATTAGATACTATGATACAGTTAAAGGGATTAGTTTCCCATACACTGCCTGCCTTGCAACGCTCTCTTTGGGTGTTTAACACGTTCTAGGAGTACATGTTTTATCATTTTCATTTGTGTGCAACTTTGAGGTGATTTTGTTATGAAATTAACTGAAGTCATTGTTAAATACATTTAGAATTGTGACCATGCAGCCTTTCCAAATTACTGCTATTGTAGGGTCAATGCAAATTTTCATACACAAATCACTTTTTTAGTAGTGCAAATGTAATCTAGCCTGGGTGCCTGTCTGTTTCTACTCTATTGCCAACTCCTTATGGAATTTGTCATGTTTGCCTTGACAATGACAACAATGCAGTTGGCAAGACAGCACAAACAGATCTGGGACCAGGCTAAATGGAATCTTCGGATGATAACAATATGGTTGTTGATTAACACAACATTCATGTGCCAAGGCTCTTGGCAACTTCGTAGATGCCCTATATACCTTGAGTAACAAGCTGTAATCGCAAGCTATAAGAGATTGATTGGGAAATGAGCCAAGTCCTAGCTATATCTTTCTATGGTCCTTCTTCATTCACTCTTCTGTTTAAAAGGCTTTTGACCATAGACGTTTGTAATTATTAAATTAATATCTGTCTGCTTTTCATGTTTCTGGGCTGTAGGAAGTCACGTTTTCATTTAAATCTTTTTATGGAAATAATGGGCATCTTTGGTATGGCTCTCTTCTCTGCATTTTGACCTTTAATTAGAAATTGTAAATTACATGAATTGTATATTATTATATCTTTCTCTGGATTATATCCATATGATCAGATATTCTTTTATGGTTTATAAATGTAAGGTATTCTTTCCCCTTTAATGCTTTTTGTTTTTACTTTATTTGTGGTTTATCCAAAATGAAAGCAGAACAAATGACTACCGTGACCAACAGTTAGAACTGGCTCTTTGGTCTTTATTGATAAAAGTGTGAATTGTACAAAGATTTCTAGCTAGAGAACTGTTTGGCCAAACATTTTCATCTGAACTTAATGAAACTGTTGGGTGTAACCGAGGACCAGATTTCTTAGGATTTTTTCTTTTTTTCCCCTTTAGCTGGATCAAGTCAACTCTGACTCAAATAATAACTACGTACACTTTATTTTTCTTTACCTGCATCTGAAAAGGTGTTGTATATTAGATGTAAAATATCTTCTGGCATTGTCTGTATTGCACCTTAACTTTATAACATTTTATTTACCACTGGATGCCTTGTTTTCTTTAGAAATAAAATAAAAATGGAAACATCTTTGGGAAAGGAATTGACCCTGAAGCTGCTGTATATCTAGAACTCTATATATTTAAAAAGATTCCAGGGAACGTTCCCATTCAGTACTACCGATATTATAACTGACTCCATGTTTTGTTACTTCAAGATTTCTCTTTATCTTGTGTTATTATCATTGTAAATCCTTTTGTAACACTGTCAACTGTAATATTCTTTAAAATAAAATGTACCTGTGTTTAAAGCTTTCTTGTACTGATGGATGCAGTTTTCATGTTATAATGTGTTCTCTGAATACTCTGAGATGGACATCTTGTAAATGTGTGCTTGTTGAGGGGATCCTTTTTGAGTTGTTTGAGAACAGTAAAAAAATCAATGACAAATTTCTGATGTAGAAAGAGAACAATAATTTATATATGCAGTACAGATGCTGTATCTTAATTTGACCCAGTTTCTCATAGCAGGAAAATAATCAACTGGAAATGTGAATTATGTGTACTATAATTGTTTATTTTTTTTAGGGGTTGACATTTTTCAGTGGCCAAATCAGGTCTGAAATTTAAAGTGGAAATTACAAACTTTGGATGCCTTTTAAACTTTGAATACACTACAAGTTTGCATTTCCTTCTGTGCAGGAAAATACCTGCAACAACAGGATGATCAAATTAAGATACGCCATCTGTAATTTACAAGACCGATGGTGTGGGAATTTATCTCGTGCAGAAAACATACTCATAATATTCCCTTGTGTGTTACACAAATCTTTTAAGTCTTGAGTCTTTTCAGTCTCTTGTTGACCATGTATGGTAGGGGTAATAAACTCTTACCCTACGAGGTCCGTATTCTGCTGGTTTTCTGTTCTACCTGATACTTAATTACACCCACCTGGTGTCCCAGGTCTAAATCAGTCTGTGATTAGAGGGGAACAATGAAAAAAAGCAGTGGAACTGGCTTTGAGGTCCAGAGTTGAGTTTGAGGGATGTATGGGGTCATACAATCTATTTGGAAGAGGGAGACACATAACCACTATTCATCTTGTACCTGTGGAACTGGAGGTAGTCCCTTATTGTCAGATATAATGTCATGTTCAATGGGTCATACGGTTTGTTTCATCCTTTCGACGACTCTGTGAAGGGGCTAGGTCCATTCTGTTATTATAATAACCTTGGTGAGGGGTGTGAACAATGGTCTTCTGAGCAGGAAGCCTATTCACACTACATACACAATCTCTCCAGAGAATCTCACTGTGGCCAGTGGCGCATGGGCAGTCACCTCCTCTGTAATCCTTACCCAGAAGACGCAATGTTTTATTCAGTGAGCCATTTCTTTATGATTTCTTTATTTGACAGCTGGGGAGCTTTAGCTTAGTAAGATTCTAGCACAGAGGCTGAAGGTTCAACAAGCCTGGTGTCCTGTCTAGTTATCCCACTTCATGTGAGCTGTCTTTGGGTCTTGTACTGGCTTGCATGCATTTCCAAAATCCTCTACAGCAGTGTTTCCCAACTTCAGTCCTCCAGTACCCCCAACAGCACACATTTTTGTTGTAGCCCCGGACAAACTCACCTGATTCTACTAATTGAGAGCTTGATGATTAGTTGACCAGTTGAATCAGGTGTGCTTGTCCGGGGCTACAACAAAAATGTGGACTGTTGGGGGTACTGGAAGACTGGAGTGGGGAAACATTGCTCTATGGCAGGGTCGATTTCTTGACTATTTTTTCCCACTCGAAATGTCCTTGGAGAAGACTGCATTTATAAAACAGGAACACCGGACATAGACTGACCAGGTGAATCCAGGTGAAAGCTATGATCCCTTATTGATGTCACTTGTTAAATCCACTTCAATCAGTGTAGATGAAGGGGAGGAGACAGGTTAAAGAAGGATTTTCAAGCCTTGAGACAATTAAGACATGGATTGTGTATGTGTGCCATTCAGAGGGTGAATGGGAAAGACAAAATATTTAAGTGCCTTTGAACAAGGTATGGTAATAGGTGCCAGGCACACCAGTTTGAGTTTGTCAAGAACTGCAACACTGCTGGGTTTTTCACACTCCACAGTTTCCCATGTGTATTAAGAATGGTTCACCACCCAAAGGACATCCAGCCAACTTGACACAACTGTGGGAAGCATTGGAGTCAACATTGGCCAGCATCCCTGTGGAGTCCATGCCTCGACGAATTGAGGCTGTTCTGAGGGCAAAAGGGGGTGCAGCTCAATATTGGAATGTGTTCCTAATGTTTTCTGCACTCTGTGTGGTCCTCCATTGCTATGCCTAAATTGTTAGTGTTATCTGGAATCCTTGGGATGTCCCTACCCTAAACCCTATCCCTTCCTACCCTCAACCCGAACCCTTAACATAACCCTTACCTTAACTATTTTTTTTATTCTTCTTACCTTAACTGTTTTAAATGTCAATTTCAATGGGGTGACATCAGAGATGGGATCTCCCAAGGATCCCGTTTAGACTTTTCCATGCCTGAATAAAGAGGAAGTCCCTGGGTGAGGAAGTGCTTTGATCAACTAATCACACTCTCTTGACTAGCAGTGGATTACGTACAGTATACTTTAATAGAGTGCATCACAGCTATCTCTCTTGATCCCATCACCATACCACAGCTCATTAGAGTCTGCTGAAATGTAAATATGCAATGTGTGTAATGCTATATGTACAGTGAGGGAAAAAAGTATTTGATCCCCTGCTGATTTTGTACGTTTGCCCACTGACAAAGAAATTATCAGTCTACAATTTTAATGGTAGGTTTATTTGAACAGTGAGAGACAGAATAACAACAACAAAAATCCAGAAAAACACATGTCAAAAATGTTATAAATTGATTTGCATTTTAATGTGGGAAATAAGTATTTGACCCCCTCTCAATCAGAAAGATTTCTGGCTCCCAGGTGTCTTTTATACAGGTAACAAGCTGAGATTAGGAGGACACTCTTAAAGGGAGTCCACAGAAGCAATCAATCAATCAGATTCCAAACTCTCCACCATGGCCAAGACCAAAGAGCTCTCCAAGGATGTCAGGG